CAGAGGATGAGATGGTTCGATGGCATCACCGACTCAATGGACAAGAGTTTGAGTAAACTCCAGGAGTTGGTGATGGACAGGGAGGCCTGGCATGCTGCGATTCATGGGGTCACAAAGAGTCAGGCATGAATGAACAACTGAACTGACTGAAATTTCAGTTATTTGCCTGCTGTTGTTTTGAAGTTGAGTTGTAGTAGTTTCTTTGACATTCTGGATATAAGCCCCTTATTCAGATACACATTTTGAAGATACTTCCTCTCATTCTATAGTTGCTTGTTGTTGATTGTTGAGACTCTCCTTTCTTCACTTTTTAAATTTAGAACCTTGGCAAAGATCATTTGGCCACACGTGTGTCAATTTACTTGCAATTCCCTTTTTATGGTTCACTGGTCTCTTCCTTCCTATTTTGTTGCTGGTACAACACTGTTTTGACTGTTGTGGCATTCTTATGTGGATTGAATTCAGGAAGCATTAAGGCCCCATTGTTCTTTGCTCTCAAGACTTTTTCTCTTTGAGTTTCTTTTAGGTTCCATAAGTATCAGTATTCTGGGTTTGTTTTTTTTTTCCCCCATTTGTATAAAGTTGAAATGAGATTTTGTGAGTGGTTTCAATATATATGTACATCACTTTTAGTTGTATAAGGTCAACAGCACTAAATATTCCAGTCTGTGAATATGCTATGCCATTCCATTTACTTGTGTCTTCTTTCTCTCAACAGTGTACAATGGTTTTCAGTGCCCAAATCTTGCACTTCCTAATGAGCCTCTTGCACTACCTTGTTTGAGTCATCTGAGTCAGGGATGGGAAAGACAGGCTCATGAAGAGAGGGAATGTCCTCTCTCCCCTCTGTGCCTACCCTCTGGTTACTTGTAGTACTGGTGTGCAGGGCCATGCCTTCACCTCTGCCTACAAGTGAGCCCCCTCTGGGAATTTTCTTTAAATCTGAGTGTTCACTTTACTATTGAATTGTCCACAAGCACTCTCCCAATGCCTGGCCTGTGTCCAAGAGCCCCAGGTATACCTACATATGACTGAGCATATGAGACCATCAAATCTTCTGCAATAAAGAAAAACCTGAACAGCAGCTCAGCGTCTTTTCCTTATCATTGGAGCTCTTAGAGCTGAATGTTCCAGTGGAGTAGCCACTACTCAGATCAGCCTATTTATAATGAATATACTTCAAACAATAATTAATGTGTTATATTTTTAAAAAGCCCCACAAAAACCACAGAATTACTTGGTCACACTAGTGATATTTCAGGTGTGTCCATAAATGTTGGAATTTCAGTTTCATAAGCTTGAATGTAAGAGCTATATTGAGCATGTGGAAAAGTAAGGTTGGGATTCTCTCAGGATCTCTATGTCATGTGAAATTTTGCAACTGTGATCAACATCTTGTTGAAAGGCTCTGACTCCGCCAAGCACAGGGAAGGTCTGTGAACCTGGAGGGAAGACCAGGGAGATGCTTTGTGAGCCAAGAGAAGGAGGAAAGATGGAAGGGTCAACTTGTATAATAACTGTATTATTGCTCATGGTTGTCTTTCTACAGAAATGTATGCTAGAGAGTCTTAGCAGCAGTGATGTAGAAGAGAATTAGATAGGACACAGGTCTCAGGGAGAGTAGGATTTAGAGGGAGAGGGTTCCTGAACCGCTCAGGTTATACCTGCTTCTTTGGAGATAAAACAGGTGAATATGAACTGAGGATTTAAATTGGAGGGAGAGAGTTTCTGGACCACTTGGGAGATAAAAGAAGGTGAATATAAACTGAAGAAGAAGGGAGTATGTGTAAGCTTGTGATTTGTTCCTCGTATTTTAGTGAAATAATAAACTGTGTGTGCATGTGCTTTGTTGTGCTGCGCCTGTAGTCGTCTCTTGTTACAGACATCTCTTCTTGCTTTTACGTTTAGAAGTGTCCTTTCTCACAAGACTCCTCTTTCTTTGTCCTTTCATTGAGAAACATGAGAGAATGGCTTATGGTTAGTGCCTTCAGAGTCTTACACACAAGGGACTTCAGGCCTGTTTAAATTCTCCTGTGATGGCCACATCCTAATGGGACCAAAAGCCTAATAGTTACTTGACACTGCAGGCCAAGTTCTTGCAGTGAGTGTCAGGTTCTGGGTGAGATATGAACTCGCTACCTCTGCATTTTCAGGACTCGTAGATTGCCCTCACGTTTGTCTTCATTGTTTATTGCTCATGTAAAGGGTGTTCTCGGGGTTGGATAAGTCAACGCACACAGGCTCTGGCGTCCCAGACTGGACTGAGTCTCCTGGAGCTCATCTCAGCTTCCAGCCCAAGGATGCTGTGCTGAAGGTGCCTTCACGTGAGAGCGGTCCATGCCCCGTTGCCCCTGGAGACCAGCAAGCCCCCAGACGCTTGACAATGTGAGGGAGCCGCTGGCTTTCCTAACACACTGGCTCTCACAGCCCTGCTGACCTGGCCTCCTGGGTCTGACCAGACCCAGGTCAGAGACTCAGAGCAGCGGGACCCAGGATCACTGTTCCATGTAGAACCCAATGCTCCATCTAGACAGCCCTGCCCCTGCTCCGCACACCCCAGTCCTGCCCACCCTGTTACCTTTACTCAAACTTTCCCAGGTTTCATTCCTCCCAGTCTTTTCAAGATTGGGGTAAACCCTGTCTGGGGCTGTGTGTATATGAGGCTTCCCTATCTGTAAAACCTTTGTGGCATCACGTCAGACTAAGACACTTTGGACATGTTATTTTAATTATAATATTTTGTTCATCCTCCCTAAGGGGCTAAGAGACTTAAGCAGTTATTTTGAGCACCAAGTTTCTCCCAGTTATCTAAAGTTAGCTCAGGCACAGAATACTTGTTACCTGAAGTTGGTTGTGTATCTAGGCTGTTGTGGAAAGTGATGCAGTGAATTTAGGACTGCAGATATCTCTTTGTGATACTGATTTAATTTCCTTTGTATATATATCCAGAACTGTGTTTGCTGAATCATATGCTACTCCTTTCATACATTTATAAGGAAACTTTTACTGTTTTCCACAACATAGCCACACAATTTACATTCCCACCAGCAGTGTACAAAGGTTCTAGCTCCCCACATCATGGCCTTAACCTGTTAATTCTTTGCCTTTATAATATACAAACTAACAGGCATGAGGTGTTGATTTACTTTGCCCTGATGATTAGTGAGGTTGAAAACCTTTTCCTTTGTATGCTAGTCATTTGTCTGTCTTGTTCCCGAAATGTCTGTTTAAATCTTTGCACATTCCTCAACTGCCTTATTTACTTTTTTTAATATTGTATTTGTTTTGCATTTGAGCTGTGGTATTTTCTTATGAATTTTGAGGATGAGCTCCTTATCTGATACATGGCTTGTAATTTTTCTGTAGGTTATCTTTTCATCATACTGATTTATTGAAGAGACTACCCTTTTCCTATTCCATTGTCTTAGAACCTTGATGAATTTCATTTGACCATGTATCCGTGACTTTTCTTGGAGCTCTGTATTCTGGTCTTTAGGGCTATGTATCTATTTCTATGTCAGTATCATACAGGTTTGATTCCTATATCTTTGTAATGTGTTTTGAAATCAGGAGGTGAGATATTTTGATCTTTGTTTTCAAGGTTATTTTGTCTGTGTGGAGTCCTTAGCAGTTCCATATATATCTTTGGATTTGTTTTTCCCATTTCTATAAAAATGATGTTAATATTTTGATTGGTGTTGCAATGAATTTTTACTTAGCTTTGGGTACTATAGAAATGTCAACAGTACTAAGTCTCCAGGCTATGAGCATGATCTGTCAGTTCAGTTCCTCGTGGCTTAGTTCATTCTCTCAGTGGGGTGTGTAGTGTTCAGTGTGCTGGTCGTTTCTCTCTGAAGACCCTGTGTCCCTCCCTCCCTGATCTCAGAGTCAGTGGTGGAGGTATGGGCTGGTGAGGAGATGCAGTGTCCCTCCCTCCGTCCTCACCTCTTCTCTGATGATGTTCAGCACAATTGCCCTGGGCCCTGTGTCCACACCTGTCCCCTCAAGTGGAACACCTGCTGGGAAATCCTCTAAGATCTAGGTATTGGCATTGCTGTTTCAGTGTCCCAAAGGCTCCTGAGTACGTGGGTTGTATTCACAAGCCCAGGAAATACCTACAAAAATGAATCATCAAATCAGGCCAGCCAAATACTCTGCAGAAGCTGTTGGGCTACATTTTGCAGGCCTGCAAGTGCTGTACTTTGCCTGGACTTGAGACCAAAAAAAGACTCCAGAGTTGACAGAGATATCAAAGGGTTAATAGATGGGACGTCTTAGATATCTGAAGTAAATGGGTCCTGGAGATGAAAGGTTGTTGCTGAACCACAAAAAGACTCCGAGATTCTTGGCCTCCGGAGGAGAAGAATTCAATCCAGGGCCAGAGACGAGGCTTGATCCCTCAGAGCTTTTGTGTAATAAAGTTTAATTAAAGTATAAAGGAGATAGAGAAAGTTTCTGACATAGGCATCAGAAGGGGGCAGAAAGAGTGCCCCCCTGTTAGTCTTTAGCTGGATGTTATATAGTCACTAGCAGTTTGTTAAGAAAGAAAGGAGGGTGTACGTGCAGAGCGCGCAGAGTGAGTGGCGCCCACACGCCCTGCGCTGATCCGCCGGCCGAGCCGGCCGCCCGGAACGCTGAGGCGGCGGCGGCCAAGGCGGCGGGTCTCGGGGGCCGGGCCCGCGTGCCCGAGCGGAGGGCGCCGTCCGCCGCGCAGGCCGCGCTCCCTCAGCCCGCGGCGGTGATGAGGCGCTGAGGCAGCGGCCGGCGCTGCGCGGCGCGACCGAAGGATGAGGACGCGCCCGGGCCGAGGGAGCGGGGCGCCGGTCTCCTGAGGCGAGGGGCGGCGGGCGCATGGTGCAGTGACGGCCTCTGCCGCTCCGCCCGCTCCCCGGCCCGAGGCTAGGCCGTCCGGCTGCCACCCCTCCTGCTCGGCCGCCGCCTCCACCCCCGCCGCCATGGCCAATGACAGCGGAGGGCCCGGCGGGCCGAGCCCGAGCAAGCGAGACCGGCAGTACTTCGAACTGTGCGGGAAGATGGAGAACCTGCTGCGCTGTAGCCGCTGCCGCAGCTCCTTCTACTGCAGCAAGGAGCATCAGCGCCAGGACTGGAAGAAGCACAAGCTCGTGTGCCAGGTCGGCGAGAAGGTTTCTGCCCCCGGCACGGGCCAACCTTTAAGCCGGGCCGCGCGCCGTCGCCCAGGGCCGCCGAAGCCAGGGAGGCCAGGAAGGCGGCGCCGCGCCGGGACCGAGCCGTCGAGGCCGCGGGTCCGCGGGCCTCCGGAGACGCGGCCAAGGCGAAGGCGAAGGCGAAGGCCAAGCCTACGGCCGACCCCGCGGCAGCCGCGTCCCCTCCCCGCGCGGCCGCCGGCAGCCAGGGTTGTGTAGCGGTGGCCGCCGAGGCGGAGTCCGCGAAGGCGGAGCTGCTGGCCCGCCCGTCGCTGTACCAGGAGAAGGCGAACCTGTACCCGCTGGGTAAAGCGCCGGGCGAGGGGCTGAGCCACGGCGGCCTGCGGCCCAAGGGGCAGACGAAGCCGATGCCGGCACTGAAGCTGGCGCTGGAGTGCATCGTGCCCTGCATGAACAAGCACGGCATCTGCGTGGTGGACGGCTTCCTGGGCAAGGAGACCGGCCAGCAGATAGGCGACAAGGTGCGCGCCCTGCACGACACGGGCAAGTTCACGGACGGGCAGCTGGTCAGCCAGAAGAGCGACTCGTCCAAGGACATCCGAGGTGATAAGATCACCTGGATCGAGGGCGAGGAGCCTTGCTGTGAAACCATCGGGCTGCTCATGAACAACATGGACGACCTGATCCGCCACTGTAACGGGAAGCTGGGCAACTACAAAATCAATGGCCGGACGAAAGCCATGGTTGCTTGCTATCCTGGCAATGAACAGGTTACGTGCGTCATGTCGATAATCCAAATGGAGATGGAAGATGTGTGACATGTATATATTATCTTAATAAAGACTGGGATGCCAAGGTAAGTGGAGGTATACTTCGAATTTTTCCAGAAGGCAAAGCCCAGTTTGCTGACATTGAACCCAAATTTGATAGACTGCTGTTTTTCTGGTCTGACCGTCGCAACCCTCATGAAGTACAACCAGCATATGCTACAAGGTACGCAATAACTGTTTGGTATTTTGATGCAGATGAGAGAGCACGAGCTAAAGCAAAATATCTAACAGGTAAAAAAGGTGTGAGGGTTGAACTCAATAAACCTTCTGATTTGATCAGTAAAGACGTCTTATAGAGCCTTTCATCCAGCAATACCCCACTTCACCTACAATACTTATTGACGCTACTTGTTAACTTGTGAATACAAATAAATGGGATAAAGAAAAATAGACAGCCAGTTGGCAGTTTAAGGAAACAGAAACAACTTTTTTGTGTTGCGTCAAAACAGAGATTTTGACTGTGTGGCTCTGTACTGCATGATCGACTCCAAACCTGTGATGGGAGGAATGTAAGTTATCAACTGAAAGTGGTGTTTACATCTGGACATGAAATAAGTGCCCTAGGCAGAATTGTTTTCATTCTTATATTTTGCCAGATCTGTCATCTAGCTGAATTCATTTCATCTCTCCCTTTTTTATATAGTCAAGTTTGAATTTGAAATAATTTTTGTATACTCAGGTACAATTTATCAAAACTGAATTGAGAAAAAATTACAATATTATTTCCCAAAATAGCATCAATCTATTTTTGTAAACCTCTTCATACTATTAAATTTTGCCCTGAAAAGCCTCTTAAAAAAAAAAGGAAGAAAAGGAAGAAAGGAATGTCTTAAAACTCAGAATGGCACCAGGCCCCTCATCCATAAGATGTATTTTGGGATAATCTTGGCACCGGAAGAGTCATCCCAGGCCATAAAATGATTGACTTAAATCCTGTAGACAGATTACCATACAAATAGTTTCGTTTACATAGATTAGGGGAACAATGTCTGAATATAACATAATGGTTTGTCAAGTAGGTTCTGAACCATTAGGCAGAATGGACTTCAAGACAGAGTTTGGGGTAAAGGCATAGCACATTAACATAGCTTAAGACAAACATTTCCATAAGAAGAGTGCATTGGTTAACTCAAGGTTTGAGAATAGTTAACTTCAAGTGGAACCAGGTGTCATTATGGCAACACAGTATTTTAAGAGAAATCTCCTTTTAAATTTGTATAGAAAAGGGGGGGGGGAAAGCATCATTCCTGCCACTTAAGAGAGAGATAAAAATGTCTGACACTTGAAGCCTATTTCCTCTGTTTGGAGACCCCTGGCCTTCCTGCCTGTTACCCTCTCAGAGAGACACCCACTGTGGATAGGAGGGGACAGGCAGAAGACAGCAGCTATAGTTTTCTTTACTCTGAGGGGATAAGGAGTCTACCAGTTACAGTGGGAATGAACAGCAGATTGGCCCATTGATTACCTTGGAAACCAGAAAAGGGCCACATCTCTCTTAGCCCCTCAGGCTAAATGCTCTCATGTGTCAGAGGTCTTTTCTTTGTTAATTTAACAGCAAACAGTCATCTTGAAATGGCCAGAAAACACAAAGGAAATAACAAGAGAGGGGTGTTAACACCCTGTATATATCCATGCATACTCAGTCACTTAGTTATGACCCCACTGTTTGTGACCCCATGGACTATATCCCACCAGGCTCCTCTGTCCATGCTATTTTCCAGGCAAGAATATTGAACTGGATTGTCATTTCCTCCTCCAAAGTATCTTCCCAACCCAGAGATTGAACCCACGTCTCCTGCATTGGCAGGCAAATTCTTTACCACTAAGCCACCTGGGAAACACCTTCACTTGTACCAAAGTTCCTGTTCTGCCGTCATCTGTCAGAATCGGCAGGACTCGTGGTGATGATCTGAAGATTCATTCAGTCTTTCCTGGTGACTCAGACAATAAAGAATTCACCTGCAATCCAGAAGACATGGGTTAGAACCCTGAGTCAGGAGGATCCCCTGAAGAAGGAAGTGCCTAACCACTCCAGGATTCTTGCCTGGAGAATTCCATGACAGACGGCCGTGGCCGGCTAGTCCCTGGGCTCACAAAGTGCTGAAATCGACTGCATGAGTTATCCGCACACATATATAAACATATATAGTGGCTTTTGTGTATTATAGTTGGTAGGCACTAGCGAGATGTGACTGCTATAATTTACCTAAAGGCATGTTATACATGTGTCAAAACACTTGTGATTTCAGGTTGGTTAGCATGAAGGTGAGAGCTCTAGTGGACATGTAGAAGTGAGAGGTTGAGAATTGACTTTTTCAGCATCTCTATCTTTAGGTTTGCAACTGATATCAGTGACTTACTGAATGACTGTGACTGCACAGAGCACAGATGACTGCCATCTGCTATCCACAGTGGGGTGTCTCTTCAGGACCTTGGGAAAAAGTTCAAGGTGATGCTGTGAGATCCAGCAGGCCTCAACTGGAGGATATGTGGGTGGGTTGCTCATTCTAACCACCTTTTTGCTCGTGGAGTGCACTGTGGAGGGCATTTGGTGCAGTGATGAGAAAGGGGAGACAGGTAGCTAACAAGATTCCGTTGGGATCTGATGGGAGAGGGTTCTGGAAGTTAAACCCTCTGTTAACCCCAGAGTTAAACTCTCTGTTTGGTGGCTAAGAAAAGTGAACCTGAAATTAAGAAGAAGGAAATGTGTATAGAATTCTGACTTATTCTTTACATATGAAATGATATGATAGAGAAATTGTGTCCTGGACTTGCATTGTGCTCTATTTCTAATCAGCTTTTGTTGCTTTACTCTTCAAAAATCATTTTTCCTATAAGAGCTGCTCGTTTCTGCTTTTTTACTAATATGGAAACCTGGTCTCTGGTCAGCACATCTCGGGTATTGTGCACTGCAGGCTGTTTTCTATTGCATGTTGAACTATGAGGACCATATCCTAGTGGGCACAAAACTCTCATTGTCAGTTGACACTGGAGACCACGTCCTTGCAGTGCCTGTGAGGTGGTGGGTGCGATGTGAACTCTCTCCTCCTGCACTTTCAGGACTTGTGACTTCCCCTCATGTTTGTCCTCACTGTTAATTCCTCGTGTAAAGGGCGCTGCCGGGGGTGGATGAGTCACAGCACACAGGCTCTGGGGTCCCTGCCCGGGCCCGGTCTCCTGGGGCTCTTCACAGCCTCTGCAGCAGCCAAGGCTGATGTGCTGAAGGTGCTTCCGGGTGAGAGGTCCATGTCCTGCTGCTCCTGGAGACCCTCCACATCTGCAGATTCTAGAGTCTGTGAAGGGCCCACGGGGCTTCCTCACACACTTGCTTTCACAGCCCTGCTGACCTGGTCTCCTAGGATTGAGCATTCCCAGGGCAGCAGGTCCTGGGGTCACTGCTACTCTCAGAACCCACCGCTGCATCCAGACAGTCTTGCCCCTTCTCCCCAACCCAGGCCTGCCCCATCCTCTCTCCTTTCCTTACACCTTCCCAAGTCTCATCCCTGCCAATTTTCCAAGTCTCAGTGCAAACCCGGCAGCTACCACATGTTTATGGAGGACCCTTGTCACATTATTCTGGCTAAATGAAATTGGAGGTGTTTGCCTCTATCCTTTCTAAGGGTCTGTGAAACTTGAGGTGTTGCTGTGAGCATTAAGCATCTCCCAGGTAACTCAGGTCACCCCAGGCAACGGGAGAGTCTCTGTTATGTGGAATTTTTGTCCTTCCCTCCCCCAGGGCTCAACACACTCTCAAGTCCATGCCAGCTCCTCCCTTGGAGAAATGTATTGGTTAATTGAGTAATGGACTGATTGGAGACAGTGGCCATACACCGATGTTCCTCCTTCTAATGTGTCCACATTGCAAACTCTAGGGTTGCTAGAGGTTGAAGGAGGAAGTAAAGTAACAGTGACTAGAGGAGAGAAATAAGGAAGCAATTAGAGAAGAAGCAGCAGGAGAAGGAGGCAAGGAAGGCTGTGGGCAGAGATGCATGGAGACAGTGACCACCTGGAGGAGGAACAGATTGGCACAGCCTCATTCTTGGTCACACATAGGCAAGTTGAGGGTGGCAACAGGATGTTGGAGGTCAAAGGTCCACTTTTTCACTGAAGAGGTGAAACACCAAGGCCCTGGGAGTTCCCTGGAGACAAGGGCACCACAGTCCCCTGGTCACATCCTGACTCTAAATCTCCCCTTTGCTTTCCCACAGCCATTCCACAGGAGTTCTGCCTGGCAACACCAGAAACCTGAATGGAAGATAATGAAGAATTGGAGCAGAAGAGCAAGAATATGGAAGTCATTTACTGTCAGGGGACGTTCAACTTTACAGAATCCAGTAAGTTGCATTTTTTTTCCTTTGTGTGCCATTTCTCAAGGATTCTCTGTTCCTTATCAGTTCCTATTAGGGGAACGAGTGGAGCTGCACACAGTTCTCATCACTGAGATCACAGGAAGGGGTACCTGCTTGGATTCCTTCCAGTAACTCCCTTCAGTGACTCTTTTCAACGTCAGCGGACTTAAATGTATTAGATTATCCATTTTGTTGTAACTGATGGAATTTCATTCTTTGTAATGGCTAAGTAATCATTTTACTAAAGATATATAAGCCTGTATTTCTGCTAATAAAATACCCTTGCTCCACTCAAGACCTGGGTCCCCTGTGGCCTTCTTTCTGTCTTCATTCTCGGCAGAGCGTGGAAACCTACCGAGCTCACTTTCTTGCCCGGGCTTTCAAGACCTCCTTGAGAGGATGCCCTGTGCTTTCATGAGTGGTACAAGTCCTGTGAACGTTGGTATTCCATGTAACCCGAGAGATACTGCTCTCTCTCTCTCTCTCTCTCTCTCTCTTTTCATCGATTCCAGCCCACCAGGTTCTGGCCTGTATTAATGAGTGACCATTTATTTCTTCTTTCAT